TTTATTGTTAAAACATTTTGCAACGAACTGGATTGAATTTTATAATAACAATTTCTACATTTCTGTCATGTCTTAATTTGAATTTTACTTAATGCCTTTCTTAGTTTTAAGCCTATCTGTTATTTTAAGATCTTGTTTGACATGGTGGGGTTACCACCCCACCACAATTTGTTGTTTTTTTATCATTAGAATCGGTTTTTTTATACATGTTTTGATATTTTATTGAGAAAGCATTGTCCTTTAAATACTCAAACAATTACTTTCATATTTTAACGAATGTTTGGCGCGGTATAGCCAAAGATGGCTCTTGCGCCATAAAACTCAACATCCATTCACTCACTCGATGCTACCAAAAATAATGAACTGTCGTTGGTGGCTGAGCAGAGTACCTAACCCTTTCGGGTTCTAACCTCCAATCTGTAAAGTTTGAGTGACTTTGATACTATTGAAACTTGCCCATTGTTAAGAAAAAATTACAGTTACATAAAATATGATAATTAAATTTAATAAAATACTTTTCGAGTTAAATAAAATAAATTAATTTGAGATATCATGAAATTCAGTTAGAAGCGGTGAAAAACTATTTATTTCTCAGGAGGGTGGGTGGGGTTACGCCTAGCCATTCAGGATGCAGCAAAGAAATCCGAGTAAAATTTGGTAAGCGCGAAAACTAAAAAGTGAAGGAAGGTTTCTGATTGGTCAGAATGGATCTATCCCAAAAGAGGAATTACAGTGCAGTAGAAGAAATTTATGGGGAATCGAACCCAGGTCTGTGTGACGCTAATCAGGAACTCTATCCGAAAACGTTTTCAGAAATCCGAGTTTTTCATATTTTTCTCGCTAAACTTTGCAATAACCTTAAAACTTCAATCATGGATACAACAGTACTTAATGGAATAGATTTATCTTTTTAATTATACTTTATGTTTCATGTGATCAAAATTCATTTCCCGTACAAAAAAAAATGTTTGAACTACAGAAAATTCGTGACTAAATAAAGCGGCGAATAAAATGATGCCAACTTCGAGAAATCAAATGAGACAACTGTACCAGTTCGAAATGAACGCACACACACATTCTTCGAGATGAAATAAGCACAGCCATCGATCTGAGGGAGAGATCACGGAAGTTTCCAATTGATTGAAAGCGAGGAACACTCGTTTGTCATTAGTTCTGGAGTGCGGAGAAGGCTTGGAATGTCCATTGAGAGAGGAGAAAAAAATATACTTCGAAGAGTAAATAAGGCAATCAGTTAGGGTAAGCGAGTTTGTTTACATTCCACAGAAAATTGGAGGTAATATTTCTATTGCAACACGTCAGATGATATCTAAAAAGCAGCTATTGATTTCAACCTAAAAGTTATAGCATGAGTGGTAACATTGATGGTAGAGACGTCTTTGTGATGGTTTCAGCATTAATCTCTCTTTGCCCAAAAAATTTTAAGGCGGTATTATAGCCTCATATAGGAGTAATAGGTCTTCATATGCGCTATCAGGGTCGTAACGCGTTACTTTTAATCATATTCGTCTCCCTAAGTCAGTGTTTCTCAAACTGCGAGGCGCGCCCTCCCTAGGGCGTCGTGATAAGTCTACGAGGGGGCGGGCGCAAGCTTATTGAAAAGTCGAAAACAAAAGATTATCTTTAAAAAAATTATTAATTTACTGAAAGTAAACAAACAAAATACATTCTGACATAATAAAAAATAAAATACACATATACATTGACGTAATACACTTATAAATGTATCAGTACTGCACAATGTATTTTTCAATTAATTTAACACTACTAAGATAAGCATGAGCTTGTCATTATAAAATTATATATAAAAATGAACACTTATTTTTGATAATTTGTACGGTTTATAATTAATCCCTACTGTCGACTTAGAATTACGTGATTTCCTCCCCAATGTCATCGTTTTCCACATAGGCACGTGTATATAATATATTGGGGGGAGGAGAAATATAAATAAGCAAATCCTTTAAAATAAGAAAATCCTTTGCAAACATTGTAAAGGTCCTTTTATTGCACTCCAACACCTTCGGAATTATTTTATGGATAGCAGTGAACAGAAAAGATCTTACTTCGGAAAGATGTATATATGCATCCAGGACAATTAACGCTTTGATAAAGTGAGAGGTTTATATATGCCGGTGGAACTTGAGAGATTAAAGATGTATAGTAGCTTTAGCGTCAAAGTATAGTACGATTGGTTTCAGTACATTGTTATTGTATGAAAGGGGGGGATTGAATTCTGGGTCGCAAATATTGAAAGTTTGAGAAGCATTGCCCTAAGTCGACATATGAGGTGGTGTCACCTATCCCTCATCGAATCCTGGGAGGAATTTGGACTGTGATGTGTTCCATCATGCCCCCTGGAATATGATCGTAGTGTGGCAATTAGGAGAGGGGAGTGCTCGCTCAGCTTCGTCCTTGTCACTTGACCAAGGATGAGAATTATGTGGTCTATCGCTAGTAGCCCTCTTATATATCTTTACAGTGCGATGTTAATAAACTCATTCACACACACACACATTCTGGAGCACAGGTATCATGCTCGCCACTTGCTTGTGGCTCAAAACTATGAGATCCGTCGCCAATACCTCCCTCAGGTTGCCTCAAACAGTGACGTAAATTAAAACAAATTAAATAAGTTCACGCCTTTCAAAATTGAAATTTTTAAATATAGAAACTGTTTTAGGTACGAATTTAGGCTTCTAATTTGTGACTGCATCCTACGTTAACAATTTACAATTCAATCTCGCTTTCATTATTATTTTTATTGCACCACTGATAACTCATCACGCTTTTTGTCTTTTACCTTCTTTTTCAATTCCTACTATTAGTTCACAAGCTCCCTATATACATCTTGTTCAAATTTTCAATCGTTAATAAAATACATTTTAAAGCGCTCAATTGAGCTGAAATTTTATATACACGATTATTTTGTATGACGATGCGGTAATTTAACTGTAAGTAGTAAAAATTAATTGGTTAAGCTAATTATTCAATGAATTACAGATACAGCCAAGTTGGCATCATATTTTGTGACTTAGCGACCCTTTTGGCGACTTGTGTCAAAACTTGAAAAGGTTTTTTTCTCACATTTTAAAGCGCTCATTTGAGCTGAAATTTTCTATACACTATTGTTTTGGGTGACAATACGATAATGTAATTATAATTTGTTAAATTTCATTGACTGGAACTAGTTATTTAAAGAATTACATAGACAGTCATGTTGGCTTCATTTTTTGTGACTTGGGTCAAAACATTAAAATATTTTTTTTTCTCACGTTTTAAAGCATTCAGTTGAACTGAAATTTTATGTACACGATTGTTTTGGATTACAATACGATACATTAGTGATAATTAATAGCCACTTAATATTGTGATTTGTCATATGTATATACATATTTATATTAATTGTAATTATTTGATAAAAAGAAACTAAATTAAAATTTTCTATGTTGACCTAAGTAGGAATTGACTTAAAATTTTTTTAATATTACTTGTTAAGTCTTGGACTCATTTTCATTAGGTAACTTCCACTACTGAAAGTATTCATTGTACAGTTAAGGTATCCAACTACGTTCGGAACCGTGATTTTAAAAAGGTGCATAAATGGATAGTTTTTATGATATTTAGTGTCACTTAGATTAGAATACATGTATAAAATTGTTTTAAGGCCATTTTGACAAAAAAAATTTAAATACAATATTTCGGCAAAAAATTAACTTAGGATAACCTTTTTTCAAAATATTCTCCTTTTGTGTGAAAAATGCTTCTATTATAATAATATTTTGCCTGTATATAGCTCAGACCTCTGTACAGAGGCTCAACTATCAGTATTGAAAAATTCACATAATTTTCAGAGCTACAACTCATTGAAATAATTATCGGCGTTTTTTTCTTAAAATTTCTCCCCTCTGTTGTCGTAAAACATGGATAAACCCACTTCTAAGTTATATATTTCAAAAATTCTAGTTGAGCCTCTGTACAGAGGTCTGAGCTATATACAGGCAAAATATTATTATAACAGAAGCATTTTTCACAAAAGGAGAGTATTTTGAAAATGGGTCATTCTATGTTCATTTTTTGTCAAAATATTGTACTTAAATTATCTTTTATTGTAATACTATTCTTAAAACAAATTTTTATACATTTTCTAATCTAAGTGACACTAAATATCATAAATATCATCCATTTATACGCTTTTGCAAAATCACGCTTCCGAACGTAGTCGGATACCTTAATTTCGCTCTAACTTGCATGCTGTTGGAAAAGTGAATACCTTTTATAAAGTTACGACGTACATGGCAGCGCGTGGTGGCTATTTCTCAATGGAAGGAGAGAAGAAAGAAGTGGACTTCCACGCGTACCCGACAACAATCCAGTCGAGATTTAAATGGAGCGTCGTGACCGTGAAGGAGTCCAATTGGAGTAAATGCGAATGGAGGTCATCGTTCATCATCTTATTCAGAGGAATCAATGGAGTTTCCGCCGCTCTGGTCATTCCACGATTGTTTCTTTTAACAGTGGCAAGAATTCGATTATGGAAGGGTTATCCAGGAGACGCCTTTAGCAGTACTTTTGAGTAAGAATTCAATACTGAGAAAAATTTTATAAATGTGCATTTTACAAGCTATCACTTAGATTTAAAAAATATATGTGCTTAAAACTTTCGAAAACTTCTCAATAATATACTAGGTACAGTAGACTTCATGTTACTCAATCCTTGCTATTAGTTCACACTCTCCCTATACGTTCATATATATATGCATATATATCTTGTTCAAATTTTCACAATCCTTAATAAAATACTTTTTATTCATACACTCAAGTTCAAATACAGTTTTTTAAACTTGTAGTGGATGACACTGGATGTTAATACAGTTTTTTCGAATATTAATTTATTAATTCTATTAAATTCATGAATAAATAGTAACAAACAAAAAAATAATAGTCCAGCAGCATATATAAAAGGGGAAATCATTCGTTGTGTCCCTGTAGAGCAATGGATATCGCTTTGGACTTCTTGTAATCCAAAGGTCATGGGTTCGAAACCCACCTGGGACGGTCTAATTTCTGAGAATGTGATTTCTATTTTATTGTACTTTTTTTATTAGAATAATTAAATTTAATTAATGAATAAATAGTAACAAACAAAAACTAAAAATAGTCCAACACCCTATATAGAAAGGAAAATGGAAAATTGCAAGGAAAATCGCTTTCTATTTTGTCACTTCATAGTGCGATTCTGTCTCATATGTATATACATATTTATATTAATTGTAACAATTTAATAAAAAGTAGCTAAAATAAAAAATTTTTTTGCTGACCTAAGTAGGAGTTGACTATAAAATTTTTTTTTTTATATTACCTGCTGAGTAAGAATTCAATACTGCGAAAAATTTTATAAATGTGCATTTTAATAGCTATCACTTAAATTTGAAAAACACATGTGCTTAAAATTTTCGAAAACTTCTCAGTAATATACTGGGTACAGTAGACTTCATATTATTTACTACATTAACTGGGAAATAAAAAAACCAGGATGTAAAAAAATCTAAGTTAAGCCATTTTACATACAGTATTGAAAGAGTAATAGTAACTGGAAAGAATAAGCATTTAAAAAAAGTTAGCGCTTATATTCCATGGGCGAAATTCATGACGGTGGTATGACAAATGGAATCCCGTGTTTTCCATTGAATTCAAAACTCACATTAGATATCTATGCCTTCTTATAACTGGAAAATCTAAATACAATTTCTAATTTGATGATTAGGAAAAAATATGTGGGCATTAAGATTTTTCAAAAGGTTTTTCCAAATAAAATTTTAAAAAAATTATATTTTATACTTGTTTTTAAGCCAAGAGCATTTTGTTTATTTATGTTCGTTATTATCGTTGACTAATGTGTAATTTTTAATAGAAAAGTTTAGTATAAATCCAAAGTCGGCAGCGGTGAGACGGTAAAAGTAATTAGCCGGAAACACATGATTGCATTTATCATGTGATTATGACGTCACATAAATTTATGAACTGATTGGCTAGAAGAACGTGATTGTATTTGTTATATGACTGACTCATATGAATTTAACCCTTTAAACCCTTGAGTAACAACTAGTGGACATATGTCATGTATAGGGCAAAATCCCACTGTAACTTCATGTGAATACATGGCTTATTTAGGTGTATAGCCTGTGTAACCGGCACAAGAAACATAACAAAGAAGATTTTCTTTTATTGGGATTGTATAAGATTACAAAAGTTAAGTTACACAAAATGTCTGGGTTACACAAATTTTAAAAAATAGGAAAATTAGAATTAAAGTTACAAATCTTTGCGAAATTGCTCGAAATGTTCCTTGGAACAAAAAGCGTTTCCAAACGTATTACATGCGAGTATATTGCCATTTTTGCTCCATTTCTTCATCACAAACAGATAATTCCGTTTCAGAGACTCTGTAGTATTCCTCGGGTTTCTGTAAATATTCTCATTCAGTATCACTTACGTCGAAATCTAACGACGATCCCATACTGGCAAGATAAAAAGTAAAAATATAAACAACAAAAATAGTTATACTAATTTTAGAAAGTGAAATGAAACACGAACAACCGTGCGCCTTAGTCAGCGTCAAAAAGAATAAATTATAGTTTTTAAAAGAAACTAAAAAACACGCTTTTATGGTTAATCGAACTAAAAAGTAAAAAAAAAAAAAAACAATTGTTAATATAGGAATAAAATGATTTACGAGAAAATGAATGTCATTGGGGTAAAAGCGTGGGGTGCTTTATATCAATTGTTATAATTTCTACTGCTTACTCTTACCTATTCCAAAATGCTGAATTAGTGTAAATATTTAGTACAAAGCACCCCACGCTTTTACCACAATGACATTTATTTTCTCGTAAATCATTTTATTCCTATATTAACAATTGTTTTTTTACTTTTTAATTCGATTAACCATAAAAACGTGTTTTTTAGTTTTTTTAAAACTATAATTTATTTTTCATTTTTTAGTACGATCTACAATAAAAGCATGTATTTTTAGTTTTTTAAACCATCATTCATTCATTCAATTTTTTAAAAAATTTTTTAATCCGCGACCGAAAAAGTTTGCCCATTCCTTAATTAGAACAAATTATTTTTTTCACATGCACGAGACTTTTTTTTTTTTTGTTTCCATTTTCAGAAAGACTGGACTATTGTTTATATAATAATAAGAAATTTTGCTGACGGAAAAAAAAATGTTTTCGCTTTTAGGGTTACTCTTAATATTTTAGTTGTCAATTCTGGAAATGGTATAATGAATTAGTCGCCAAATTTGGAAATCGTTATTCCTAAGATCCTGATCAGGACAATGGAACAAAATTATGAAATTATTGTATTGTCATCGGTCCTTGTAAGTGTGCAAAATGTCGAATTAATTTGACCTTTTAAAGTGGGTAAAAATCGCGTTCAAAGATTCCGTTACATACAAGTGAAACTTATAAAAGCGTGTTAAAAATGAAATGTGTGCGTCGTAACGTCGAGGTCTCAGTATGCTTTGTAATCTCAGACTGTTGGGGATACTAAAAAGCGCAGTCTGGTACGTAAGGGGTTAATAATGCTCTTTCTATGCTTCAACATTATAACCGCAATACGTTTTATAAGAAACCTTGGAGAAACATTTGTTGAATCTTGATCCAGAAACACAACAGTCACGTCATATGAACCCATTTTGTGAGCTCGAAAAAAAAACAGGTTTAATTTTCCAAAAATTTACATCTATGATTAGATGCAAGCTGATGGATATGTTTTAATTTCAAACGTCTATTCAAAAATGGAGGAATTGTTTTTTGTATGGAAGTTCCTTGAAATTTTTTTAGAATAATCTCGAGGATAATCGAGAATTATCAGTGTAACTTTAAATTGTCACATTTATTTATACCAGCGGTTCTTAAACTTTCAATCACCGTAGCCCCCTTTTATGTATTAGCCAGACTTCGTGGACCCCCAATATTTTGAACACCCCACCCTGAATTAATATTCTTGACTAGCTAGTATACCCGTTCTTCGCTCGGGTGAATTGAAAAATTAAACAATACAGACTGAAGGATAAAGGAGTTTTTAATGAGTTAATTTTACGGGAATTGTAAATTAAACAAAAAAAAGCTTTTTGCATATCTCAGCTAAATAAAAAAACCATGTTTGCTTAATTTTAAGTCTGTAGATATAACAGCTGATAAAAAAGATTTAAAAAAAAAAAAAAATTTATAACGCCCGTAACTCTGTTGTGGGTCGATTTTTGAAAACACCTTCCTTCTGCTCAGCAAAAATAACACATTGTTACAATTTTGTGTAATAAACTCTTAAAATAGTGTAAATAATTTGTATATCTGAATGTGTAATACTTTAATATTAAATCTCTATATACAATATTGAATTTATTGAACAATCTCTCTATATACAATATTAAAAATTTAATGAACAATCTTTCTATATACAATATAAAATTTACTGAACTATCTCTCTATATACAATAGTCAGTTCAAACAGATCTAAAAAAACAGTAGGGTGAAACGAATCTGCAAGCAGGGGGGAGGAGAGGGACGCGTGACCTTTGACACTGTCGATGGGGGTGAGGACTGGGTTGGATGAAACGAAGCCGCCGCAAGCAAGGGGTGAGAGGGATGCATGACCTTTGACACTGTCGATTGAAATAAATGATCCCTATTTGAAACGGATATTGTTCACCATTTCATTGGTTTTAATTTTATTTTCGCGGAGCCCTAATTTTTTTTCTAAAATAAAAGTAGCCTAAGTTATTTCTTATAACATAAGCTATCTGCAAGTGAAAGTTTCGTCAAAATTAGTCCAGCCGTTTCAGAGATTAGCCGGAACAAACAGACAGACAGACACACAAAAATTTTAAAAATTGATTTTTTCATATAAGTATCTTATATACTTTTAATGCATTTAGTAAAAAGCTGTTAATTTCAAATTACAAACAGACACTTCATTTTTATTTATATGTATAGATAGAAAAACATGTTTTCATAGAATTTTTTTAATGACGAGAATTTAGTGATATATATAGAGTTTAGGAGGACACATCTTTCAATTTTTTTTAACTAGGTCTTTCATTACTAGGTTTACTTTGTGAAGTTTGTGGATAGTCAATAGGTGAAAAGGCTCTAAATGCGCATGTTCGGAAAATCGATTCCAGCGCTACAGAGATTATATTCCAAAAGGAAATTCACTTTAATAAATATGCCTCGTATATTCAGATGAAAACACATTCATGTCTATATTCCTATAAACATATTAATCATAAATACACATTTAAATCTAACTTCTAACTGTTAACTTCTGCTTCTATTTAATAAGAAAAGAAACTTTATTTCAACAAAAAAAGCCTGCAGATTAATTTATAAGCTTACAACATTTAGAATTCCCAATAAGCCCATAGTTTTTGCCCATGTACCTTTTTGATCTTCACTCGATATTTTTAGGAGATAAAAATCTATCGTACGTAACATATAACGTTTGGGTCAATGAATCGGAATGTTATATTAATTATTTCTCTAATCATTGTTAAATATAATTTAAGTTTGTAAGCACATACAAGTGAGAGATTTATACAAACAACTCTTTCTTTATGTGTATGTTTGGCCTTCATTTTATTACAACTAAAAATGTATCCCGTGCATGATGTTTTCCTAAGAAATTATCAACACAGTCTCTTTACACAGTGATACAAGGAAATCTTTTTGCTTTGTTTTGATGCGCCGAAAACAAAGGCGTCATTAATTATTTTGCGAGTGATTTAAGCTTAGTGATTCTTCTATTGTTAGGCCCCCGCCTTTCTGATGAGGAATTTCCTGATACTCTCTCATCTAAGTAATTGTCATTTTAATTATGAATGACATGAATAAAAATGAGTTCACAGCGTAACAAGAAATCGGCAAAGGCCTTAAGTTAGAATAAAAAGATGATGGGTAAAATGAGGTATTAAAGTATTCTATATTTTTTTTAATGAGGAATACATCCTATGTCAGCATTATCTACGAGAGCTGGGTTTGAAATCGATA